ATTCAGGCTTCCAGCTCACTGCTCATTTGGACGCCTGGATTTATGCAGTCATAGTATCAAAAATGATGTGTACATGTAAATGTCTGCAACATTGACTTGATTTGCCAAGGTGTCTGGATCCTTTTATAGTAAAAGTAAATCAATGTTGTTACTGCAAAAAATTGATAATTTTTGCAGTATTTTATATCCAGACAGGTAATGTCTACACTATCTGTCAAATAGTATTGGTAATAATAATAATAATACTAAGAATAATAATACTTCATAAGTTTGAAATCACTCTTTAATATTCATATTTCAATTCTGATTTCTTCTATGTCCATGAAATTGCCAAAAGGAACACAGTCCATCCAGCAGCCACTGAATTAAACACCGTGCATTTCAATCTGCTGCAGCAGTTTGCTCCAATTCATTTCTGAAGAAAGTCCAAGAAATACACCAGTTCAAGCATAAACTCTGAGCAATCCTATTCCTTCCTGCCTGCTTTTCAGAAATTTCCAACCCTTGAACAGTTTCTTGACCTTTTTTATAAACATGGTAACATTTATTCACCTAACTCTCATGTATGGACAAGCTGTGTCAGCCCAAGAATTGCACGAAGCTTCCAATAAGAGGAATGGGTAATTTCATAGATTTTACCAGGCCCATTCCCTGTTTCTCTTACACTGGTTTGACTTCAGAACTGCAGGGATTTCACCACAGCTATCTATGGTTCAGGAAAGAAGAGCTGGAATTCTGAACTTTCTGTTGCTGCAGAGAGGCCTAGAAAGAGCATATCCCAGTTCACCCAGAAAGTGCAAGCCAGAACTTCCCACTACATGCTTCCATTGAGCCTTCCTTACCTGTTTCCATAGCATTCATTAAATCAGGTATGTCCTAGGAAAAGACACAACCCTGCAGCTGGGCCCACCTGCACTGCTGCTTATGGAGCCTGAATTAGACTGCATGCACACCAAATTAAATCTCAGACCCAGCTGGGCAAACAGCAGTTTGGCCATTGTTTTTTTAATGCATTTGGCTTTGGCCCACACTCCACAAGGCTGCAGTGTGAGCTTCAGAGAACCACTGTGACATGCTTTTCCTGTTTTATCACAATACAGGGTGTGGATGTCAGAAAGGGCAGAGCAGATCTCGAGACTGGCAATTTGGAAGGGCAGGGCTAATCCCATGCCAGGCAGTTCAGAGGGTGTTGGTGAGAAAGCAGACCCTAGCCATCATTACTGAGAGGTTTCTTGTCCAGCCATGCCTGATACACATTAATAGCAGCTCCAGCTGCAGAAAATTTCCTTAATTAATCAGCTAAGTTCCATGACATGCTCCCTGATAGGTTACAACCTCTAAGCATTAACAGCTCAGTACACACCTACTGAACACCTCTGAGTTTGTCCATTTGCTCTTACACATGGACATGAACAAATGGACTTCTCTGTTCAGAAAAACAATAACCTGATAGTTTATAGAAATTGAGTGGTGGCCAGAAAGGAAACTCACAAATTTTACTATTCCCAATGGAGTCATATGGCATGGAATATATTTTTAAATAGCTTTATTCCCACTAACTTTACTTCTATACCAGCATTTCCTTGAAATGATCCAGACTGGCTCTTCTTGTTCAGGGACAACTGAGAATGACAGGATGGGGATATTAGTGAGGGGAATGGAACATGTGCAGTTCCAAGACCTTGTTCACACCATGGGATGTGGGAATGAGTGCTGCACTAGCTGGTGGTGATGGAGGAGCTGAAACTCCTTCCTCCACACTGGAAAACCTGTTCCTGCATGCCACTTTCATGATGCCCTAAACTAGGGTATATGTCTCAAAGATGTAGAAAGCATTATATTCTTTGTTCTGTTCTCCACTTGTCTATTATTAGAATAGCAAATGTACTTCTCTCCCTGAGTGCTGTGACCCACGCAGTCCCTCCAGGAGCAAGATGTCAGTACCAACACAGAGAATGGAGCTGGGATGTATTTACACTGAGTAATGTATGCTCAGAGCTGAGTTTCATCCTTGGATGCTGGAGCAGGCGGCTGATGAACCCTCTGAACCAGGCAAAGTTACTGAGACCAGAAAGCATAAAATGTTCCCTGGGTTAAAAACAGGGAGAAAGGAAGGGCCTGGGGACTATCCCTTCTGTCTGTTCTGGCAAATACTGCCACACAGCAACAGTTTAGGTAGCTGGAAACTCAGTTCAGAAATGCACTCTTGATCTTGATCTAAAATACTCATATAGATGCATTTGAACCATTAGTCAAACACTTGATCCTGGGAAAAAAAAAAAAAAGCTGGAATAAATAATCAAGACATTTTGGTGAGCACATAAAATAAATTAATAGTCAATAAAAATTTACAGAGAATGAGTCAAATCAGTATCACTTCAATCTACAAACCCAGACCTGTGGCTACAAGGAGATGGAGTAGATGCCCTCTATCATAAGCTCAGTGAAACCCACAATAGCTTTCACATAAATAAACTACAGGACTGTGGTTTTCACAAAATGATTTAAATGTGGGGACAGGCTGGTTGCTGTAGGAATGACTGCAGGAAACTTCCTTGGGGCACACACAGCCAGAGGCAAAGGCAGAGGGTTGGAAGTCTCTGGCTGTGCCCCAGCTTTTACAGAAACAAACCATAGGTCAAAGCAAGACAGTGGATGAATCAATGTTGCGCAAGGAAAGGTAAATGATTGAGGTGTACAAATGAGGAATGTGAATCAGTAATCCTTCTGCTTCACTCCCTTGCAACATTCTGTTTAATTCTGAGCACTACATTATAAGCAGCCCAGAGAACAACAGTGATGATGGGAAGTCTGGAAGATCTTAACCAGAAGAGTGAACCCACGGGTCTGATCCTGAAAAGTCCAAGCTGAGACAGGGCGTGTTTTCAAATAGGCACATGCCTGCTGAATCTAATCTCCAGATGTGTTTTGGAAAAGACAGGAATGAATGGACTCATATTACAGAAAAAATATTTAGTAAAGATTAGGAAAATCTTTGCTATCATACAAATCTCTCTATTGCCTGGACAGTTTATCCAGTTAACATCACTGATAGTCTTTAGGACTGGGTTACATACATGTCTGTGAAAAAGGACAGAAGTATTTAAGAAGCTTGTTTGAAGACTGTTTCAGCCCTGTGAGTGAAAGATTTGTTTTTTATATGAAGAGCAAAAAAAATTCATCAGTTTTAATTATTCACAGACCTGCAAAACTATTCCTACTAGCTGAACTCCATCTAGTATGGCATCTAAGATATGTGCCAGATGCCCTAATGCAATTTATTTTCTCTGTAAATGAAAAGTTGAACCCAGACTCACACCCTGCTTAGGATATTGCTAGTCTGTGGGAAGAGAACTGAACTGTATTATGCAGCTGAAGTATTATTATTGATAAATCATAACATTTTCACAATGTAGTGAACCAAATTACAGGTGGTTTTAATTTCCTCATTGTGGTCAAGAATGGGCTGTCCAGCCAGGTGGTGGGGCCAAGAAACCACTGGATATGGTGCTTAGTGTCATGGTCTCGTTGATGTGGTGGTGTTCAGTCAAATTTGGACTCAATAATCCTGGAGGTTTTTTCCAGCTTGGTCTGTTGTGGGCACAGAAAACCCTAACAGAAGCGTAGAGCTAAATGTGTGGGAGTTTGAATGTGGCAAAGGTTTAAAATCCTAATGTTAAAAAAAATTAATTAAAAATAAGTACATGGAAAGTGACCTGCAGGAATCACACTCCTCAGAACCTTACAGCTACAAATCTCATTTTATTAAAAAATAATGAGCCCTGCAAGGTGCTGCCTTGATCTGCAAAGTAGAAGAGCAAGCTGCTGGCACTTGAGAAGGCACTCTGCTGGGCCTCTTGGAACACTTCAGAAAGAACAAACAAGCCCCCAGTATTCTTATAAATGCCTGCCTACTGATAAATGTAATGGGAATGTTTAGTTTGGCAGTGATAGATAAGGTCCTTCTGCTCCACAACACATCTTGAATAACCAGAGGACATCAGTCACCCACTTGTGTTATGTTTTCGCCACGGACCGACACAGGACTGAGATCATGAGTCTGCAGGAGTGACTTTGTGACTTCTTCAACAGCCTCCACTTACCACTTTCTAAACTATATTAAACCCCAAATTCCCCTGAAGCCTTATGTCAGCAGTGGATTACCTTATTTTGGCCATTCGGTTTCTATAAGACAGTTGGAATAGCAATTCCGTGTGTTATCATGCTTTAATCCATTTTTAGGAAGTGGAAAAGAAGAGCAAGGAGCGCTTTCCAGCTCCCCTTCCCACCACGAGGCTCCGTGTGGCTGCTCTGCCCTCTGCCAGGGCTGCTCAGCAGGGAAGGAAATGAGGCTGGAGAAACCCTTAGAATTTGGGGACGGAAAAAAAGCCCGGAACTGCCGCGGTGCCAGGGCTCAGCTCCCGGCGGCTGGGGCTCCACCGAGCTCCCTTACAGACGTGTCCTGTGTGCCCGCAGGATGGCAGCTACGTCGTGCGAACGTCCGCAAAGAGCTGCAGAACCACAGGATTACCATATAATTATTATTGTTATAGTGACCTCTAGAGATCACCCTGTCCAACCCCCTGCCCAGGCACGGCCGCCGGGAGCAGGTGACACAGGAGCGTGTCCCGGAGGTCGGAACGTCCCCGGAGAGGGAGGCTCCAGGCCCTCCCTGGGCAGCTGTTCCAGGGCTCTGCCACTCTCGGTGTGCAGAAATTCTTCCTCCTGCTGAGCTGCTTGTGTTTAGTTTATGGCCGGTGCTCCTCGTCCTGTAACTGGAAAGAGTCTGGCACCATCCTCTTGGCATCCTTTGAGATATTTACATGCATTAATAAGATCCCTCGCAATCTTCTCTAAAGAGATACACACCGCAGAGGTCGGTCGGTCGGTCGGTCCACCCACGGCGCGTCCCTCGCTGCCTCCTGGCGTCGCCCCGCCGCTCTCCCAACACGCATGCACTGTAGCGCAGGACTACATTTCCCGGCATGCCCCAGGGGACGGTCTGCGCGCGTGGCAGGGCGCGGCGGGAGAGGAGCGGAGCGGGACAGGGACACGACCATGTATGCGGGCGAGGGGCGGTCGCAGCCCCACCTGGCCGCGCTGGTGCTGGCGCGGGGCGGTAGCAAAGGGATCCCGCTGAAGAACATCAAGCCGCTGGCGGGAGTGCCACTCATCGGCTGGGTGCTGCGCGCCGCCATCGATGCCGGCGTCTTCCCCCCATCCATCCATCCTGCCGTGAAAGCAGGCACGAAGACCGGGCTTTGCGGGGCACCTTGTGCCAAAAGACCACCCTCCCCTCCCTAAAGGCTGGATGCCGGCGTCTTCCACAGGTGCGCATGCGCCGCCCCCCTCTGCGTCTCCCTTTCCCCTGGAGGGTTCTGATGCGGGATGGACGGGCTGAGGGACCCTGGCCCAGGGAAGGGTTGAGGGAAGCTGCCGCTTCGTCAGGAGGGTCTTAGGGATGACTGTCAGTGTCTGCAGGCAGGGCTCAGAGCACGGACCAGGCTCTGCTCCGTGGGGCCCAGCAATGGGACAGGAGAAGCGTCAGGAACTAATGCCCAGGAAGTTCCACCTGGACAGGAGGAGGAGCTTCTTTACTGGAACAGGCTGCCGTGGGAGGGTGTGTAGTCTCCCTCGGTGGAGATACTCAAAAGCTGCCTGGATGGAATCCTGTGCATCCTGTTCCAGGTGACCCTGCTGGAGCAGGGAGGTGGGACCAGCTGACCCGCTGTGGTCCCTTCCAGCCTGAGCCATGCTGTGACTCTGCCAGTGAGGCAGGATTACTTAAGACAAGGGGGTGCAGTTACTGTGGCACTAGGTTAAGGGTCAGGCAGGGCAAGCACCCTCTCAAGAACTCAGCTGTCCCTTCCTGCTGAGGGTGAGCAGAAGAAAGAAGAAATTGAAGTCTTACACAGTAAATTGAAATTAAATTTTTTTCTGATGCGTGGTTGGGTGGCCACTAGCTGGTGATGTTGTAAATATTGATGGGTTTACTTCATTAAGACATCTTTATTATTTTTAATAATAACATCTTTATTAGATGGGACTGCCAGGCTGGAGGTGATCTCCTGTGAACTGCTGAAGCACAGGATGACTTTGGTTCGTGGTCATCTAGGTACTCAGGACAGTGTGCACTGAGCTTGGCATCTCCAAGGATGGAGACCCCACAGCCTTTCTGTTCCTTTCACTGAGCTTACCCAGAAAAATCTTATTTTCTCTCTTCCTGCCCAGCAATGAAATCACCTCCTTGCTGAGATGTCTCTTTCAGCATCTCCTGGCATATGTGTGCTCCCAGGCCCAGTCATCATGCTGGCTCCTGCTGAGCTTGCTCCCATTTTCCTTTTTGGTATCAGAGCCCACAGCTGGACCCAGCGCATCAGAAACAGTCTCACTCAAATGTCAAGTTGCAGGAGATAGTCTTTTGTGCCCATGTGACACAGAAAAGAAGCTCAGTTTGTGGCCAAGTGCCTGAAACTTTGGAAGCAATAATTAGAGCTAGATAGAAACACGTGTGTTGTTGGTGTTGAGAATAGAGCATTACAGATTTTTCTGCAGGAGCGAGACTGAGGATATTCTACACATTTGCTGATAATTAAAGCCATGGTTAGGATGTGCTCAGTGTGTAGCACACCCTGTGCGAACCTGCTGCATAATGCTCAGAGCAAGTCAAGGAGAAATGTATTCCAGCTAGATCCAGAGCACTCTGTATCTCGAAGCTGCTCTGTCATTATCTGGCCTGGAGAACCTTTCTTGCTGTATCTGAAAAGTAGAGGATGCAGCACTCTACTTTATTTTTAATAAAGAAACAGACAAGAACACTTCTGGTTACTGAGGTTACTGATAATTTCTTAATGATTGTGAATCTGTATTGCTGAATGACCTGCTGTGGCTTCTGTTTGGCATCTGAATTTTCCCAACAGGAAGCCAGTCAGAGTTGTGCAGCCTGACTTTGAGACATGGCAGGTGCAGTAGGTGGACATGCACCAGGTTTGCCTTGTCACCTTTAGAACAGCTGTGCACAGTACCTGTTACACAGCAAAACTCTTGTGGTTGAATAGCGAATGTGTATTTAAGTTCACCATCCCAAAGCAGTTTCTGGAAAACACCTCTTGTGTGTTTGTTCTCATGGGTGTGACTTGACATTGCGGTCGGTGTCACACCTATTTTTCTTCTGATGATCCCACAATGTCTTTGGGGGAAGAAAAGTAACTGCAGCACCATTTGGTGTGGACAGTGCATTGAAAATGCCAGCATTGCTGTGAGAGGAAGGGTGACTTCTCATAGCTTTTGTTTTTACACCTCTCATGCTTTTTTGTCACCATGATGACAGCAGTGGCTTCACACTTGTTCAGTGTTTGTCATCACATGATACTCAGAATTAGCCCTTCCTTTTGTAAATATTTATTTTCCCTGAACGATTGCAAACTTGCTTTACCAGTACTGGAAGTTTTCTGTGCCAAAACACATGGAACTTGAACAGCTCCTTCTCTGGGAGTGTATGGAGCCCAATTAACACATTTTAACACACTTGCAGCATAAGCTAATCTTTTAACTTTGTGGCAGTTTTACTTGTTGTAAACTAAACTTTTACATGATTGTGAATGCCACATCCAACGCATTCACAATTCATTGATTTGTTAACATGCCTAAAAAATTCTTTGTGCTGACACTGGATTTTTCTGGTAACACTTCTAAGTTTTATGTTGCTTAAGTTTCCTGCATGGAATGCAACTCAAGATTCAGATTTTTCACTCTGGTGTTTTTTATTCCCATTGTTAAAAGCTGGTTGTTGGACTAACTGAGATAGTTTTATTAATACAAATACAAGAACTAGTTCCTTTTATTGCAAGGTGTAGTACAGACATAAACAAGCTGAGTTTTTTTTTCAGGTTAAATTACAACAGGCAAGTCAATAATGGTGGGATTTATTCTTTATATTGATTTCTGTCACTGTCTGCCAACAGCATATGGGTTTCCACAGACCACGATGAGATCGAGAAGGTTGCGAAGCAGTTTGGTGCTCAGGTCCATCGCAGAAGCCCTGAAGTCTCTCAAGACTCCTCAACTTCCCTAGAAGCCATCACAGAGTTTCTCAATCATCATCATGGTAAATCAGGGATGAAATATGCTGAGCTTTTATATCATAGCCCCAGAGGGATAATGCACTTATTATTTAGAAAAATTAGTAAAGCATTGACTAAATAAAACCCAGAAAGATTCAGATTCTCCTTTTTTTTTTTTTTTTTTTTTTTTTTTGTGTGTGGTACTTATACCACACTTTGCAGTTGTGTTGCTAAAGACGTGAATTGTTTCATAAATGTCTCTTTGTTTTTCTTTAGAGGTTGATATTGTAGGAAATATTCAAGCAACATCTCCCTGTTTACATCCCAGTGACCTTATAAAAGTGGCAGATCTGATCCAGAAGGAGGGCTTTGATTCTGTCTTCTCTGTTGTGAGGAGGCATCAATTCAGATGGAGTGAGGTAAAGAAAGGAGGTAATATTTAGATGTTTCTGGTTACAGTTATACTTAACTTTTTTTTTTTTCTTTTTTTTTTTTTTCTTCAAATTCTTGCTTTTCATATCTGTGCTATTTTAGGAAGTGATGTCTGAGAGAAATTCCTTCCAAGCACTGGTGTCTTGATGTTACTTAGCATTGTGCAGCCTTTTGGTAACTGTTTTGTAGAAATTAAAATTATATTAGCTTGTCTAGGCTGAAGATACAGTTCCAAAAAAACCTTTACATGTTAACTTTTTCCTGGTGGGTATTCATGTGTATTCAGACATGACACTAAGGTCCTAACTAGAAAACTGTTCTTGCTATGCAGTAGCTGACAAATGACCAGTAATGTGAGATAAAATCTTGGTGAGGATGGGATGACAATCTCTTGGCCTGGAGACTTAGGTTTTGTTTCATGCTGGTAATTTGGCTGCTGACTTATGTCACGTTGCAAAATGCCTTTGAGTCATGAGGGCTAAACTCATGTTGGTTAGCTCATCCAGAAAAATGTGACTGGTTTTTCCCAGAGAAAGTATGCCTCTTAGCTACAGTGGCCAAGATGATCAAAGACTGAAATTTTACAAATAAAGATTGCACCTTGGTTTAGCTATAAAGTTTCTTTTGTCCTGGTACAAAGAGCTATTCCACACATTTTGTGTGTTGGCTTTGTTTCTGTGGTTAAAGCAGAAATTTTTTCTTCATTTTTTAAAAATGGTTATTTCAGGTACTCTCACACTAGAGTTTTGGTGGTTTTTTCTAGGTTTTTTAAAAATTAAAATTACTCAAGCATTACAGTTATTTTGTTGAGATATAAATTGCTTCAGATTAAATTTTTTTTGTGAGTTTAGAAAGCATCATGCTGTAAAAGAGCATGTGTAATAAATGAGGCTTGATCTGAGAGATAAGTTGAAATAAAAGTTAAGCCTTTGTTTAGAATAAACATTTGAATATTGTCATTGTTCCCCATAAGAGGAGAAATAAGTGACACTTTTTGTTTGTGCAGTATAAGAGGAGTATCAAAAGCATGGGGGGCAATTTCAGGATTCTGTGGATTCCAGTTTAGCAAGCCACATACACATCTTGAGATGCTGGAAGGGACAAATGTGAAAGAATGAATCTCGTGGATCTGCCATATGGCTTCCTGAAGTGGTTGTGTCCCATAGGCAGATTGTTAAATAAGAAAGCCTCGAGGCCTACCTAAAAAAAGAAGTAATTCTTCTCCACAAAATGACATCCAAACTTTTTAATGGGGTGAGAGATAAGGAAGTATTCAGCTGCAAAGACTGAGGAGAGCTGGAAACACATTGTGCCGACATGAGCAGCTTAAGGCTAAATGCAAATTGCCTTTCAGGTGTGTGGTATTTCAGGTGACAGTGATTCACAGCAGCATTATACAATGGTTTTTCTTCTTCTTTTTATTTTCCATACAGCTTTAGAGTACTGATTATGCTAAAAGAATTTCATGGGGTTTTTTTTGGTTTTTTTTGGTGTAGCTCTGTTGCTCCTTCTGCATTAAGGCTTAATATTGATAGACCCTGAAAGAGAAAGGTGTCTCTCTCTGACTGGAAATATTTACTTCAGTGAGCACAAAGCTTTAACTGGTTATGAAACACAAGGTGTGTGTATATCTACTAAAGCCTCAAGATGTTTTGGGTGTTTGAGAATGCCCTCTAACTTCCTCATGGTTACCGGATTGTGAGACCTGGTGAATTTTTAGCTGCTTTGTACATCTGGATTGAAGGGGCTTAAGGGCAAAAGTCTTTGGTCCTTGATTTGGTTTCTGCTGCATGTACAATTGTCATTGGTAATAATATGGGATCTTTTGGGATGGTGTTTGTGCAGACAGCTGTTTGTTTATTTGTGGACACTGATTAAACCACTTACGAAGAGTTAATGCATATCCTTAAATAAGATGTATTTTGGGGAAGTCCCAAGATGTTTTCACAAGCAAAAATTTTTCACATATGCTCTTATTTTGCGTTCTAGATTTCAGGCTGGTCCTTTCAGGTATCAGAGTGCATTCAGGCATTCCCATGTGCACTAGGAGTTGGAGTATAGGAATAATATTTCGGAGTATAGGAATAGTATTTCTTTCACATTGGCAAGGACAGTCTGGTAGAATGCGCCTCCTACTCCTTCTGGAAATGAGTTTTGAAGCAAATAACCTCTTGTGTTTTTGTTGTTGTTTCTGTTTGGTTGGTTTGGTTTTTTTTCCTAAAGTGGTAATGAAAAGTTTCCTTTTTCACTGCTAGGCATACAGAGTAGTCCTCCACTTTATCCACAGTTCCAAGAAAGAAAAGCAATTCAGTGATTCCCCAGAGAAGTTGTGGATTCTGCATCCCTCAATGTGTTCCAGACCAAGTTGAATGGGGCTCTGAGCAACCTGGGATAGTGAAAGGTGTCCCTGCCCATGGCAAGGGGTAGGAACTGGATCATCTTTAACGCCCCTTCCAACCCAAACCAGTCTGTGATTCTTTATAAAGTTAAGCAGAAAGAGACAATAATGAGAGTAGTTTGTGACTGAATTATACCCTTAATTTTTCAACAGAAGGTTATTTAGGTTGTTAAGTGACTCTGAACAGGAATTATTTAAAGCTTTTGTTGTAATATTTTTCCTCTGTTAACAGAAAACAAGATGACAGAACCCCAAAACCTGAATCCAGCAAAGCGGTACCGGAGGCAAGACTGGCCTGGGGAGCTCTATGAAAATGGCTCGTTTTATTTTGCCAAGAGGCATCTGATTGAGAAAGGCTACTTGCAGGTTAGTGCTTCTGGTTTTTTATGCTCTTCAGAATAATACATCTACTCTTGCTGTAGAGGGTTCTGAATTCAATACTCTGTTTTGATTTCTGATGCAGTCAGTGTGAAATAACAGCACTCTGACCTCAGAACAGTTTGCTAATTATTTGTAACTTAGCAGGGCTAGTTATAGCTAGGGCAGTTCCAGTAACAGCATCCTCCATAGCAAATAAATTTATGCAAATAAATGTCTTATATAGCTTTAACCCTAAACCAATACAATACTGAGTTGAGTTTTGCAGGAGCTCATCAGTGTATCTTAGAATACATTTTAGTGCCACTAAAGGTGTGAAACTGAGCTTCATGCAGTGTCAGAGCCTTGTCATAATCTGTAAATTTCTATGTTCAGCCAATTTCATCTTATGCCAATTTTTGTACTGTAACTTTAACAGTCTTTCTCCCTTTCTTGATGTTTACATCCCAATGTAGTGGTGCAGAGCAGCACTGGGGTGTGATGGATATATTTCCCTTGGAAATTAAGTAACAGTAAGAAAATAATAAAATAGTCTCCTAAGCAAATGCTGAAGGTATTACTATTTTGCTGATTAAAAGAGCTAGTGAAATTAGTTTGATGTAATTGCTGTAATGCATAACATCTTGCACACTTTCTCTAGTTGTAAAATGGAAATAGTTATTAACTATTTCTTCAATAGTTAATAACTGTTCCTTCAAATGGTTCTGTGTCACTGGCAAAAACATAATTGATGGTTCATTTTTATATAAGCCGTGGTGGCAACTGTGTAACCAGGCACTTGGCTTTCATTGCACGGTGCTAAATTGTAGAGTTTTGTATTTTTGTTGACCCAAGCATAAAATTTGAGTGGATTTTATTTCCTTCAGGGTGGTAAAATGGCCTACTATGAAATGTGTGCAGAGCACAGTGTGGATATTGATATAGACATTGACTGGCCTATTGCAGAGCAGAGAGTGTTGAGGTAAAAGCACTTTTTATTCCCTTATTTCTTTGATGCTGCTTGTTTTCAAAGTGTGAATTCATAATGCATAGAATGTAAGCAATGGAGATCAAAGATAATTGGGCAGCTTTATTTCTGCCCAGGATTTTTTCCTATCTCTGTTGAAATCAACTGAATTACCTTTGTTACATGGTGGGGTTTTGGTAGTTTGATTTTTTCCTTAAAGTTCAGCTTGGTGAAGAATGTAAGCCCCACTATACCTCAGCAATGTGTTAGCATCATCTCTGGCTTTCCCAGCTGAGGTGCCCCAGATTTCCATGCTCCAGACCACTATAACTGATGCCCAGGAATGGGAATGTTTGTGTAGAGGGCATGAGCTCATTCTGCCTCACCAGCTACCTTTCCTTTGCAGCTGCTCTAAGGAAATAATGGGTGGGAAGGGAGTATATTTTCTGTGCCTTTTTCATCCTAATTTTTAAATGGATGACATAAATGGGCTGTCTTTTGGATGGTTCTGTTAATTTCTTTGAAGAGGGACAATATAGTTGGAGAGTGATGATGATGAGAAAAAACATTAGAAAAGAAGAATTTCAAAGCTGATTCTTCTTTCTGAAGACTACAGTTGTATGGGAAATACTTGGGGTTTTGAACTGTGCAAAAACTTCCATCCTAAAAAGATAATTTCTTTGTCTAGCTTTGGATATTTTGGCAAAGAGCCGCTAAAAGAGGTGAAGCTCTTGGTTTGCAGTATTGATGGATGCCTGACCAATGGTCGCATTTATGTGACAGAAGATCACAAGGAAATGGTCTCCTATGATTACAGAGATATTGTTGGCATTGATCTGTTAAAGAAAAGAGGAATCCAGGTAAGTACTGTTCTGAAGAGTGAGCTGTCATATCTCATGTAATCTGCACATTAAAAGATTCTAAAAAAATACATTCTTGCAGCATAGAAGTTGAAGTTTTTTCACAGTACTTGTGGTCAAGCAGCATAATATATTGGTTGGGACAAATGTTATCCTCAGAACCCTAAGACAAAAATGAGTGTTTTGAGAAAGTTCTCAATCACAGTAATTACAGCATCTTTCTGCATTTCACAGAATCAGAGAATGGTCTGGGTGGGACCATCTGGGCAGGGACACCTTCTACTATCCGAGGTTGGTCAGAGCCCCATTGAGCCTGGGCTTGGATACTGCCAGGGTTCCAGGGGCAGCCACAGCTGGCTGCAACCTGTACCCGGGCCTCACCACCCTCACAGGGCACAATGTCTTACTCATATCCAATCTAAACCTCCCCTCTGTCACTTTGGAGCCATTCCCCCTTGTCCTGTCACTCCAGGCTCTTGTCAGTAGTCTTTCCCCATCTTTCCTGTGGGCTCCCTTCAGGCACTGGAAGGCCACAGTTAGGTCACCCCAGAGCCCATTCCTGTGAAATGGAGTAGATGTTTTGTCAGCAGTCCGTCAGCTTCATTTTCTAGGAAGCCAGAGGAGTAGGAAGCTTGTAATCACTGTTTTGTTGCCTGTGGGAGCCCATTTCCATACCTTCTTTGACTTGGAATGTTTAATTGAAAACCTGTAGGTCTTTGTGCTGCACTTTATTTATTTCTAGTATATGTTGCTGTTACAATCCTGCCTTTTGCCCCTCTTCTCTTCATTCTGTACTTAACATCAGTGTCAAGCATTTGTTTGTATTTAAAAGCAATTAGGGAAGATAAGCTTGTCTACATCTTTGGCAGAAAACCTGAAGGGTTTCCATCTGAGATTTCTAAAAATCCTGCTGCAATTATCTTCTGGTTTTAACTGACCTTGTGCACCATTCCTGAAATTTCAAATTTGGAATGAACTTCCAGAGATAAATGTGCTGTGCTGCTTTGGTCTGTGTAGTGTTGGTTTGATACTCTGAAATGGTGCTATAAATAAAGTTACGTTATTAAGTAGAGGGGCCAAGGAAAAAACTTCATGTTCTACTTTGGCAAATATTTCAGAAATCTTTCTTGGGCATTCTCTCATTCCACATTGTGACTTAATTAGATCATACTGCACTAGATAGTCACCGTGCCACCATACTGTGATATTTAGTATTTTATTTAGTACATGTTGCATTTAAAAAGACAAATGTAAATAATTTTTGAACATCAGGGAGGGCTGCAGAAATGTATTTCACCTTCCTAAAGGAACCTCAAGACTCTGTGGTTTTGGGTGCTAATCCCTTCTGCTCTGAGTTTTGAAAATCAGTCATTCAGTGCATTTCCAGAGAGAGCTTCTACAAGCAAAATTTGCTTTTTTTTTTTTTTGTAATCGTAAATCAACTTATATGTCATATTTCTTTGGTGTAGAACTTACTCTAATTTTATTTCAATAGGTTCGACTCATCTCTGACAGAGATTGTTCAAAAACACTGTCAGCCATGCAGCTGGGATGTGCAGCAAAAGTCAGCGTAACAAATAAACTACAGGTTCTGAAGAACTGGCAGGAGGACATGGGTTTGAGCTGGAAAGAGGTGGCTTACTTAGGTCAGTTCCTTTTCTTTTGGTTTATTTAATTTAAATAGCATAGACAAATAGAATCATTATACTGCTGCTGAGCTTTAAACCACTTTTCTCTTTGTAAATACACTGAATTTAATGAGATTACTGTGCACATTGCAACACACGATCACCAAAAGCAGGTATTTTATGGCCTGTTACAGTAAAATCTAAATGTTACAGACATTGATGAATCTGTGTAATTTGGTAAGGGAAGTCTTCACTGTTTTTCCTGTGGGATATAGGAAAGCTTTTGATTTTAGGAAACATTTTGATATCAAAATATTGATAAGCATACACTTAGAGCTGACAATTTTGAACTCATTCTAGTTCATTTCAGAGGGATATTGTATGGATTATGTTCTGAAATGGTAATCAGAAATGGACAGAATTAGAACTGAAAGCCATGTGCTTCTGTGCTAAACTGTATTTCAGTGACAGGCTAAGTGAGGAGTCCTGCCAATCCTTATTCAGCTGCTCACATAATTTTACTGCTCTTAAAAGTAGCATTCTCTTGCCTGAAGATTGTGAAGTGTGATCATCATTTACACATGGATCACCAAGATTTTCCAACACCTGACTTGCATGTGCAAAGTGCTGTTGAGCTGCTGAGATGAATATTGTGACAAAAAAAAAAAAAACTTCAAAAATCAGATCAACGCATACCCAGAAAAACTGAGAAAAATACTGATTATTTTCCTTCTGTGATATTTGGCCTTGCCTGTCATCTTCCTCCATAGGAAATGAGGAGTCTGACGTGGAGTGCCTGAAGCAGGCAGGCATGAGTGGTGTGCCTGCTGATGCCTGTGCCACTGCTCAGAAGGCTGCTGGTTACATCTGTAAGAGCAGAGGTGGCTGTGGAGCTGTGCGGGAGTTTGCAGAACACATATTCCTGCTCTTAGAGAAAGTGAACTCTGCAAGGAAGCAGCTGGAAGAAATCAGCTCAGCAGGGAAGGAAATGGGGAGAAATGAGAGCAGCAGGAAAGGAAATAAGGAACTGATGGAAAAAGAGTAACACTGTTGGTCAGTCCTGCTTTTCTTCCTCAGTACATCCATATCCCAAAGGAATGCTTACCTTTCAAATTTTACAGCACAGTAGAGTTAAAAGGGTGTCTCCCCCTAATTCCAGGTCCCACATTCATGATTATATGCTGAAAATATGATCATATCCATGATGATTTTAAAAGCCATTTAAGTGCAATGGGAGGAATGCTACAAAAGAGAGTGCCCTGTAAATCTGCTCTTAATCACACCTGTCCTGATGCCTCTTTATTTCATAATCTGAATGTTTTCAGGGATCAATGATTTTGTATGACTTGAAGATTTGTAATTCAGGCTTAAAAAACCCAAAACTTCTGTCAGTTTTTCTCATGTGGTTTGCATTTCTTTTATCAAATGCATGGTATTGTGGTTGTGTGATTGCATTTTACAAGCTTTGTCCTTAGCAAAGAAGAGTTTCAACATATGCTGGAGAGGTCAGGTGTAAAATACTTATCAATAAAACTTCCTCCTCTATTTTTGAAATACAACTCAGTTGCTGTAAAACAAGTTAATACTCGTTTAAAAAAGCACTTTAACATGTGTTCAGTTTGAAGCTCATAAATAATTAAATCACATTTGGAATTGTCGATCTTGGAATCTGTTTATTTTTGGTTTTATTGAAGTGCCTAAATTAATATTTTGCCAAATTTGGAGTTAAATTTCCCATTGTCTTTGAGTTCTTTGCAGAAACTCAGTTTCTTTCTATGAAGACTATATTGCAACCTCAAAAGAGTTAAAGCCAAATAAAAGTCTTTAAGTTTATTGTATGGAAAAGCAGCTGCTGTTAAGAAAAAACCAAACTATAGTTGATATGGGTTTATATAAAATATATATAGAGACTACTTTTAGCATGTTAAAACTGGTTTACATGCTTGCATTTATTGAAAATAGGATTTGTAATGTACATTACAAATACAATAGTATATATCAGAGTTAAGTTCTGGTTTGGGTTATGCTAAAAAATAAAAATACCCATGGTACACTGGCAATTACAAGAGAGGTAGTGGCTTGTATATTTTATTTTGTTTCTCAGCTAAATATTGCATTGTATAAATAGTTATACTCCCAGTATATCACCTGGTATACTGGCCTCTGATAAACTTTGTGTTTACTTCCTTTCACAAAGCAAAATGTTGAACTGAAATTATTTACTGCCTATCTACACTTAACAGATAAATTGTTTATTGTAGTAACCAGTTCTAAGTCACCTAAATTTACGTGTCTCAGTCACGTTTTAGGGTTCTGTGCTGGATAAATCCCATGGACTTTGACAAGAGGAGAGCAACATTTTTGACATCAGTGTTTTCACTTTGATGAATTCTTGTTTAGAAGAACATGGTATAATCTTACATTGGAAAGAATATGAAGGATAAAAGAGCTCTAGAGACTGTTTGCCAAAAAAAGATATGGGATATGCAGGATCTGCGTCCTGAAAGGTTCAGATTTGTATTGTCCACACTGTAGTGGAAAGTCTAATTATAGGGTAGGAAGAGGGATGCCTTAATTACTCTTGCTTTTATAGAAGAGCCTCAATCATATGAAGGATTTAGGGGTCAGAGAGGCAGAGACTGTGAGGGTAACTGTGTCACCTTAGAAGTGAAATCCAAGTCCCAGGAAAGTTTAAATGTGTTGAATATTTTTCCAAGGCCTATTCCAGTACATGTGACACCACAATTGCCTTTGATTAGAGGGGTATTACTCATTCAGAGTATATTTCAATGGTCAGTTTTGTTAGTCTGGTTAGTTTGTTAGGGGTAATTTTGAGATCATCTTTTGGCCATGTGAGCTCTTGTTTTTTTGCTTCCATTAACCGAGGGTATTTCAAAGATCTTAAGTAATGTGGGCTGTTCTGTCATGATTATGTGAAATGGAAAAACAGGAAACTATGTAAATATTTGTAATAAGCTATTATGAAAAAGTAGCTGATTACCTCAAATTTTAAATAAACAGCTTTCTTTAGTCTTTTAAGTAGAGAACGGTTATGGGCTGGCTTGTGGTGAGTTTCTGTACTGCAAATCATACACTCCCGAGTTCATGCACCACACAAATGATTTGTGATGGCAAAGGTGGACAGATTTAATGCCCAAATTAATTCTTCACACCTTCACCCACTTCTGACTCTCATAATTTATTTTTATCTGCTTTTTCTCCTATTCAGTTTATCTTCCTCTCCAGTTCCTGTTCGGTCATGCAATAAGTTCTGACCTTAAGTAATTTCAAATCAATATGAATCACATACATCTCAGCCTTTTGAAGTCAGAGATATGTTTTAATACTTGCTGATTTCAAGTTTCTAAGACTTTGAAACCTTGATCACACATTTTAGGTAACTAGTTTTTCCAGAGCCTATGTGGTGGAAGGTTTTTGATTTTAATTTTTTTTCCTGTTAGTTTGGTCTTAAAACACTACTTACTTTTTGCAGAAATAAGTCTAAATTAGTCTAATTCCACCCAGCAGGACCAATCATCCTAATTGTTACCATTACAAGAGCAGTAATGCTGTACAGAAGAAAAACACCATTATGTGTGAACCTGACGCATAAGTGGGTTAGAAAAACTTACCAGTAATACACTTGTCTGAAAAATCTTTGGATGGTGGGTTTGTTTCTCTCTCTCTTGTTCTGGGACAGATTGGTGTATCCCCCTTTCTGTTCAAGATATGTTTATGGATGTGGCTCTGGTTTAATACAGCGTTCCCCCTTCTGTGGGGGAGGCATGAAAGACAATGAGCAGTGAGCAATATGAAGGTAGTGGTACCAAATTATTCAGGCTAGTAAAGAGAGGGTCTGGTGAAACTGAGGAGGTATATATAAAATAAGCTGAGCTTAACTGAAAAACAATCCTAATGTAAGTGTTAAAATATCCATTTTCACAGAGAAATTATAATTCAAAAAAGTATCTAGTGGTTTGAAGTGTGTGCTAGCAGTTGAAAAAGCAGAAATTTTTAGAAAAAGAATATATAACAAATAAGTTAAAAATAATTAATGCCCTGTATAATTCAGTGGTTTGTGTGTATCTTGAATACTGCATGTTTTGTTTATTTTGTGTTGAAAAGGCTGTAGCATTCCAAAGGGAATAAGTGTAGGAGGATAAAATGGATGATGTAAGACAGGAATCATGTTCAGTCGCAGCAGTAGCCAAACCAGATTTCTTCACTTTGGAAGGAGCATTCTCCACTTTGGACTGAAGGGAGTTGTGTTAAAATATTTGTAAAATTAAGGATGGGAAGCCATGGAAAGGCCACTGAAGAAGCTAGCAGTGACCAAAAACAATATGCCTGGGGAATATAAATTTACCATGTTGTATTTAGTGGTGCTTTCGAGTTTTCCTGTGGCCTCAGCACATTTGCAGCTCATGGATTTCCAAAGCTGGACATGGGTTACAGACATTTAATGAACCTTAGAATACTTAAAACAGGCTTGGGCCATGTGTTTCATGAATCTGACACCTGTTTATGGCTAGTACAGTAGGTACAGTAGCCTGTTTATGGCTAGTACAGTAGTAGTAATCCATGTAGGATTTTGTTTTTACTGTCCCACCTTTTTTTTTCCTGGTTACACTTTGTCCACAGCAGTTCAGACTCAAGTTGAGAGGGGATTGGTCACCACCCACTGATCCTTCTGGGCAGCTAGGCCCAGCAGAAGTGTTTCTATTCATTAGGTAAAGCTTAGTCTAAAAAGCTTGAAAATGGGATGAAGTACCTCAGAATCACAGAATAAGCTGAGTTAGAAGAGACCCCTCAGGATCAGGAGTGCAGCTCCTGGCCATGCACAGACCCCCCAACAATCCCACCCTGTGCATCCCTGAGAGCACTGTCCAAATGCTCCCGGAGCTCTGGCAGCCTTGGGGCCGTGACCATCCCTGGGGAGCCTGGGCAGTGCCAGCACCCTCTGGGGGAAGAACCTTTTCCTGATATCCACCCTAACCCTCGCCTGACCCAGCTCCAGCTGTTCCCTGGGTCCTGTCCCTGGTCACACAGAGCAGAGATCACGGCCTGCCCCTCCTCTTCCTTCACAAGGGTGCTGTAACTGCAGTGAGGTCTCCCCTCAGTCTCCTCCGGCCGAACAGACCCAAGTGGCCTCAGCTTTTCCTCATTCCCCTCATGGCCCTTTACCCGATTTAGACAAATATAAAACACTCCCATTCATGTCACTTAATGAACTTTAAGTTTTCCTGAATATATTTATCATGATCTACCTTTGGATCAATTCCATTCTCTGAATGCTGCCTCTTAAAGGACCTCAAGGAGCTACACTTATCTCCGCCTGGAGTCCGAACAGATTTGATGGGCAGTAGTTCTGATAACTCACACAGGCCCTGGTCTTGGCTTGCCACATCAGTTTATCAACACTTGAAGCACTTTGTTCAAACAAAGCACATGTTTGATTTATTATGGAAGTCAAGAGGTTTTCAGGGGATTTTGGGGTAAACTTGCAGGCAGTGCATGGCAATCTGGAGAGCAAACTGGACCACTGCCCTGCAGTGCCTCTGTACTGCTGCCCCTGCTGAGCAGCAAGGGAGCTCAGGCTACTCCAGCCAGGCTGCTGTCATTGGTGTCAGAGGTTGGATAGCACAGATGCACATGGCCTAGCTCTGATTAAGCCCTGCTGAACCTTTTTTTATTCTCCAAAGAGAAATTAGTGTTTTTTTTTTTTTTTTTTTTTTTTTTTTTTTTTTGTTAATTTTAATCTATGTAAATCCTTTATTTAGCCAGTAGACCATGCTGTAAACTGATCCATTCCTCATCCCCCTGAAGCAGCTAGGGAGCTAACTGAACTTTGAGCAGCACACTGTTGCCTCCCTGGCAGATGGGTAAGTTTGAGTAGTTTACCAAGCTTACCTTGATCCACAAGGCAAGTCCTCATCCTGTCCCTTCACACACAGTTCCATGTTGTAAGTATGATGTGATATAAACAATCCTTTTTGTGTGTGCATACAATGTGTGGTGCAAACGCTGCTCTTACAGCAGTCTTAGTGCAGCTAAACTCACTTGCAAACCTCATTTCCGCAATGACCCTCTGGCTTTTTTCCCATACTCAAAGGGCCAGAAAAAAACAAGTCTCTAAGTAAAATGTTCAGTGATTTTCATTAGCTGATCTCTTGCCACTTATTAATAGTGGAAGAATGACACTTGAAAGGAGGGCAACAGTGGCATTTTGAGGGAAGAGTGAGTGATTTTCATGTCAGAAGACGAAAGTAACACATCAAATGGTTATTTGTATAGAGCAGGGCATCACCTCCCTCAGGTTGTATTGAATTGGTAAATGGCAAAGGACTGCACACAGACTTTTCTCCCACTCTCCTCAGCACCATAACTTCTGTGTCTTTATGCAGGCGCAAAATCAGTAGGTGTTGATGCCCGCTTGCACAAAGCAGGTATGAAATGAAATGGCTGCCTGGCAATTGTGAAGTGTGTGGCTAGAGGGAGATGAGTGTTGATGAAACCAGGTTGTTTCTGTACCTCAGGAAAAACACACCCAGAAGAGGAGCTTCTCTCACACACAGGAACTGTGTTCTGCCTTGGAACTGTGTGGGGGGGTAAAACACTCCCTGGGATGTGGACACAGACAGCTGATTCTTGGAAAATCTGTTTTATCAGGGCAGAGTAAATAAATAAGTGCCGTTTGGATTAAGCTGTCTCTGATTTGTGGTTTGGTTTCGTTGCTCAAGGGGTGGGAAATAAAATAGTTCTCATCAAAACACTGGAAACGGGAATTTTGCAGGAAGAAAATCAAATGGAAAATAAACACATTTACGGTTGCTCAACATGTGGTGCTGAAGTTTATTTGGATTTGTATCAGTTGCATTTTAAGACACAAAGACTCTCTGGTACCTAATCCAGAAATAAGTTACATCAAAGAACTATACACTGTTAGAAAAGAAAAGAAAAAAGAAACACTTTGGTAAACAGACTTCAGATCTTCAAATGCTGCACTTTTCAACTTAATTATCAATAGCAATGTCCAATAAGATAGGCACTTCCAAGTCATGGTGTGTCACAGAAGGAACAAGTCTGGGGTCAAATTTTTGGTAATTTTCTTATTATGTGTTTTTAGATTTCTTATACATTCAGTTCCTTGCAAGTTTGTTTTTTGTTTTTCTCTTCATATTATCTTGGGTAAAATTCCTTATTCAGGTTTATGAAGTCTGTTCATATCGCCTTGGAACAAAGAAAATAAATAAATTATGAAGTAGATTTGGTTGTCAAACCAAGGTCTGACACCTGACTCTGTGAAACCATGTACACCTGCCCTCTGAGAACTGAGCTGAGCTCTGGCACTGTGTCAGAACTTTCCTATTCTCAAGAACCCATGTTTATAATCCTTCCTCTTGGAAGCATTATAAACTGATGGGAGCACCCATTCAGAGCTTCCCACCAACTAGTCTGTGGATGCTTGTTGATAACTGGATATTGTTCTTCACAGAGACTCAGCACTCATAGATGAAACTATCTGCCATCTTGCTGAGTTTCATTTTCTCATTAAATATCTCCTGAAACCTAATATTCTGCTTTGGAGTGAAGTAGTTCTTCCAATCACCAACAGCACCTAAGAAAGCAAGAACAGAACGAACAGTGAAGTGAACAATATGTGGAGCAGAAAATTATTTTAAAGCAGCCTAGTTTTGTTAATGTTGCAGTTGGCACAGATATTAATATATACTTAATCATGGTCACTGTGGTAGGTCAGGTTCAGAATTGTTCTGATGAGACTCTGGTGGAAAGATCTGGATCATATCCATGAAGGTTGATGAACCATCATCCTCAGAGCTGATTAGTGCCAGCAACACAAGTGGTGGAGGAAGAACAGCAGCTTTCCAAGGTGGACTTAGAGCTCCTGATGATCTGGGCAGAGGGACATCTTGCCACGCCTTAGTTGAATGTAATTAAAGGTCTCTGCCTGGGTTTTTTTCACAGACAGTAGAAGAAATTGTAGAATCACAGAGTGGTTTGGGTTGGAAAAGACCTTATAGATCATCCGTTTCCATCCCCCTGCTGTGGGCAGAGATGCCTTCCATTATCCCAGGTTGCTCAGAGCCTCATCCATCCTGACCTTGGACACTGCCAGGGATCCAGGGGCAGCCACATCTTCTCTGAGCAACCTGTGCCAGGGCCTCCCCACCCTCACAGGGAGGAATTTCTTCCCCATATCCAATCTAAACCTCCTCTCTGTCAGTGTGAAGCCATTCCCCCTTGTCCTGTCACCCCAGGCCCTTGTAAAGACTCTCTCTACTAGACAGTCTTGTAAATAGTCTAAAAATTTATAGATTCATAAAACAGTCTGGGTGGGAAGGGACCTTTACAGGAAATTTTAGTCACCATCTAAACTTATTAAATGAGTGGTAGCCCAAAAGGCACTGACAAAAAAAGATTCCTAGAAAAGTAGCCCAGAATGGCCTGACAAATTAATCCCACCTTTACACCTGCTCCTAATCTCTAGAATTTTTATGGATGAGATGTCCATCTCATCCACTTAAGTGGGCAGTTGAATACTTCTGGGTGGCCGTGGACACTGGTGATCAGAAAAGTGTTTCAACTGTTACCCAGTCCAAGCAAAAAGGAAATTGTTCTGTAAACTGATGCATTTTTATGAGACAATGCTTACAGTTTCCCCCCATGTGCATGCTCTAAAGACTCTGCATCCCAAACCTGACTAACATAATAATCTCATTTTCTGACTAAAATAGCATTCAGTCCTAAAGGACAGGAAAAGAGAGCCCGAAGCATAATATATACATATAATTCTTCTGTAAACTGGTTAAAACTATCTAAACATCTGGGATTAGCATAGGAACCACTTACTACTTGGAAGTGAAAATCTTGGGATTTTTCAACATTTTCATCATATCTATCAAAGCTCACTGACTGAGAAAAATGCATCTCTTTTTTTTGTTGTTTCTTCTTTATTGACAGATTGTATGTTTTCATTTGTTTCTGCTGACTGGTAAAACCATTGTGAATTAACGGAAGGTAACATTTCTCTGTTTATTAACTGAAACAACTCTTAGCTTTAAACTGTCAATTGTTGTTCAAAAATTAACTAAATCAAAATAATTTTTAAAAAATGGTGGGTTTGATTGACTTGTTATCCAAACCTGTGGAAGCTTCTGAAATGCCAGGAGCAAGAAAACAGCTCCTGAGGGTATTTTAAAATCACATCTGAGATAAGAACTGTGGAAAATTTTCCAGGGTTTGGAAGTTACCTATGACCATTCTTTTGTTGTTGTTGTTGTCGTCAGCATATTCCTTCTTCAGGAATATTTCAGTAAGATAAGGGGTGATAAGAGCAGTCTCATTCAGAAGGAATGTGTCTGGCTCTTTCTTATTCTAGTCAACTAAGTGACCTTGGCAGGTGATATCAGAGAGACATATTGTAAAACACTGAGGTGGTCAACTTCTAGATTAAAAAAAAAGGCAGATAAAGAATATTGCTGGGTGAGCTTGCCTTTTGGCTCAACAGCTCCCACAGAGCAATATTGGTCAGGCTATAGTTCAGACTCCTCTGTCCTTCTCTAGTACAAGTCTGAATTTGCAGCCAGAAAAGGTAGGAAGTGATTTTTAAGAGGGCTTCAGATCAAAGAATCTTGTCATCACCTCCCAGGGCTGACCCAAAGACTCCAGGAAAGACCTGCACTGCAGTCTTTGTCTGGATTCCCACTGCTTCTCCCGTGTTAGGCACAAAAGACTTTACCTTTTCGGAAAATCAGCTTCCTGTTGGATGTCAGAGCACACACGGTGTGACTGGGATCGCTGTTCTCCTTTTCTGTGTCATTCTTCATCTCTGAGAACGAGGACTTCTTGCAGATGTCTTGGATATCATTGTCACTGACATTTAAACTCAGGAACAGAGTAATTTTCTTTACAACCTTAGGGAGATCCTGAGGTATAAGAAAAATACAGCTTTTATGTTTCTGGGCTGATTATCAGATTTTTAGCTGATTTGAAAATGATCCCTTTTATTACAAAATGAGTTTGTCACACATTTATTTGCTTTCAAGCAAAGCATTGGATTGTGCAGATGAAGGTACAGTAAACCTGCTTCCCCTCTTAGCCATACTCACAGAAATTAATAAATACAGAGTATGTCATATCACACACAGTCACATTGTCAATTTTATCTCCCACTTCAGATAAAATGTTCTCCTGTCTCTCAGAATTATTTCCCTGGAAATAGAAGACTACTCAAAGCCCAGCTCCAAGTAGCTTATTTCATTGGACGTGATGTATCTAGAGATCTAACAAGTGACTCAGCGTCCAAAATGGCTTGTTTATATTCCTAGTAGTTGAATTTTTTTCCCCCAAAAAATGAACAAACCTATTTTCATAAAGACACTAGAAAATGCTTTCTCTTCACCTGAAAATTCATTCTCTGAAAGCTAAGGTATGTTGATATTTTACTTTCTCTTTTTTAAGAATAGTGAAGTTTTTCCCTCACCATCCAGCCTCTAATTTTCTTTTTTATTGGGAATACAAGTCCCAAATGTGAGTAGTTCTGTTGTCTTACATCACTTTTTGAAAATTGCATCTGAAATGTCAAACATAGCAAATTAATGTGTGATCCTCAATAAATGACCTTGGTTGGTCTTTCCATAGGACAAAAAAGGGGAACATAAAACTCTGCCTGAGCTTGAGGAAAAATGTCTGAGTCCCATTCCTGCATCTAAGAAATGCAACTCTCACAAGATTTCATATTTATATAGCTTGTGTAATCCAAATTAGTTAACACTAAATTCCATGCAAATAAAAAATATGCCCAAAGATACATATTCACATTTTCCTTCTTTCTCCTTTTTCCTTATGACTTCCTCTTTGATGTTTTAATGATGCTCATTTGCAAGTAATGACTATTTGCACCAAGAGCAGAGAGTATATTTACCTTCTTCATGTCTTCATAGAACAAAAAGAGGATGTTTTTCTCATCTTCATGTTCTTCCCAGCTTAGGAAATGATCAAACCAGGATCCACAGACAACTGAAAGGAAAACCCATGTAAAAGAGATCCAGAAAACCTTTATTCATAAATAACTGTGATGCTACCTCACACATTTAGGGGAATAATTTGTATCTGTAATGCACTAAAACACAGGCAGCTCTTTGTGTCAAGTGATGCAAATTTACAAAAGTAATTTCCAAAGAGTTTTCCATTCTTGTTGGAATTTGTTTTCATACCAGATACTATTCTGAGATATGATTCTGTAGTGGAAGCAGGCTCCAGGTCTAAGGAAAGGCCAGTAATGAAGTAAAATGTACCGGCCTAACAAGATGTGAACATCTCAGATGACTGACTGCATGTCTGTGGTCACAGAGATTTGATCACCTCAGCAGGAGATGAAATGAGCAGGCTGGCAAATGGAGCACACAGTTGTTACCTCTCTTTCATCCCAGCAGAAGGGAATGTGTATAATTTTTAAATGCTGAAGAAGAATTACTTAAAGAACTCATGCAAATGCCTCATTCAGCCAGTGACACAGATAGAAGAGTTTGTAGCCGATTTCTTTTGTCTGAATGCTCCATTTGCTGAGCCATGGGAACACAGCTAAATTTCATCTTTCTTTTAAAAACCAAAATTCTGACCTCTCAATTTCAAAGGCAAGATGAAAACCTCTTGCAGGGCAATGAGAAGAGGCCTAAACAGAGAAAGCTCAGCAAGCATTCTCCAGAACTGTGACTTTGCTTTGTAACCACCACAACCAGAAAATTCTAATCTTGTAATGGGCATCATTTTGGTCACAAACTGTGAGTTGTAATTAAGTATAAATTACAATTAATAGCTACAATTAAGCTGAATGCTCCAGTCTGCAGCCATCTCCAGCACACAAAGCAGTTTCTAAGTGCAAGGCATGTGTGCTCCACAGTGTGCAATTAAACCCTGCTCCCCTGGCCACCTACTCTGGGGACGTGGTCAGTGATAGCACAGTCCTGGTGACTTCAGAAGAGACTTGGAGACTCCAGGGAATTCATTACAGTTGTCCCGGTGTGGCCTAACCCTTGTTTTGAACTGATATTTGCAAGAGTACTGCAGGATTTGGATCAAGGAGCACAACCTTGAAATGTTTCTACTAGGAGCAAAAAATTACCACCTTTCCCTCCACATCACCTCTTACCTAAATTTCTCATAAGCACTCAGAAAACAGAAGATGGCTAATAATTTATGGGGAAATAGGAGATACTCTTAAAATTTAGTCATTGAAGCACAGAATGCTTCAGATTGGAAGGGACCTTAAAAATAATTTAGTTCCAACTCCCCTGCCATGGGCAGGGACACCTTCCACCAGAGCAGGTTGCTCAGAGCCCCATTCAGCCTGGCCTTGGATAGAAGCCTCTTTCCTTTTTTTTCACTATTCTACGTTCAGAGTTCATACCAAATAAGCCAAGATCCTGCAAATCACTGAAGCATGTGCCTTAGGGCTGCTCTGGACTCAGAACACCACATCTGAGCCAAAGCCTCAAGGAGGCAGTAAACAAATTGACTCCTGGAGTTCTGATGTGAGTCCGTGATGACTGCAACAACACTTTTCTTTTGGGGTTTTCAAGGTGATTAATCATTATTGCTGTTATCATCACTGTGGTGACACATGTCGTCAAAGGAGTAATAAAACACTAAATATGGGAGAGGACAACATGAACAAGGTCCTGTTGCCGGCTGCCATCCCACCACTCCTAAAATATCTCCCTCTTGTCCTTGGTCTTTGGACCCCATTTCTGAGACAGCACATCAGGGAGAGTGTGTGCAGAAGGGCTTTAGGAACATGTTCAGACTCCTTTTTGGGCTGCCCAGGGCTGCCTCCCAGCCTGGAGAAGACACCAGACCTACAGTCGCAACTGTCCCTGCAGGCTGCTACAGTCCCCTCACATGCTCTGTCATCAGCCATGGCCCTGCTCGCCCAGGGCAACAAAGAGCAGCAAAAACCTGCAAAGAGCTGTGCTGGAATGATGCAGCTGCTTCTCAGAATGACTCCTTGCAGGGCTGAAGAGAGCATCCTATTATTTGCTCTTGTTTAGCTTGGCATTAGGATTTATCCCCACCAACCCCATATGAATAAGGAGTTCAATAAGGAGTTTTCACACAGTTCAAATTTCTTAAGTCTTTCTGTGCATAACAAACTAATGTGAACTGCAAAGAGAAAACATTTATCCTTACCGTTGCCTTTTAAGAACATGTCAAAGAAAGCAGTCCAGCTGTCTACAGTGGGAAGGTTTGGGTTATCTCTGTAGTAATGAAACATGGAAACTGCAGTGTCTTTTGGATTTCTGCTGATGTAAATCATCTGTAAATGAAGAAGATGTAGTTATTAATGATAATATCCTCCCTTTATTTTAGAGGAGCTCTGGATGTAAATAGAGCATTGTCATAGGCAGTTTGCAGTGTCTAAACCCTTTCCTTTAGGATTTCTCCTTTGGTGACCATGCCATTAAATTAGAAATCTCTTCTTAGCAAGGAGTCTATAGTGATTAGTAAACAAATCCATGTGGACAGAGGTGTGTTTGCCCTGGCTGGGTAATATTTATGTTTTATGAAAGAGCCTGTGCTAACTTTAACCTTGAGTCAGTATATAATCTCATATATCTCACATATGAAAGCATTTACTAATTAACATTCAAAGGACAGCTGCAAAATGTAAATTTTGGCCTTTCATTCAAATCAGCTTTGTCCCAAAAGTCTGGATCTGAGCAATCCTGAAATTTTTGACTTTGAATATAAAATCTGAGACCTAGAGCTTATTTTTTAAATCTCCCACATTAGCATGGGAGGAACTGGTTTAGTCACTGTCCCTGCTCATCAACAAGATGATCTTTAAGGTCTCTTCCAATCCAGGTGATTCTGTGATTCTATGAACTCAAAACTGTGTTCTGAATCTGCCTCCCTCATCTCATTTCTCCTCTGTTTGCCCAATACCATTATGGGCTCTTCAGAAAGCTCCAGCAGGAGGGTCAGAGTACCTTTAATCCCAGAGGAGCCTGTAAGTAGCCAAGATTTTCTGAGAGTTGGAAATGAGGTCATGAGAACACCCCAATTACTAATGAAAGACTTCTGATCTAAAGATGTTGATGTCCTATTTTGTGTGGTGCCTGGTGTAAAAATCACCCCATGGGAGCAGTGGGGTGGGAGCAGTGGGGCAGCAGCTGAACCCAGTCCCCAGTCTCTCTTGCTGCCTTCAACTGGTGGTCAGCTGTGTCTCCAAAATTCACAGCAAAACAATTCTAAAAACTGTGAATCATTCAAAAATTATTAAGGATCAACAGGACAAAATAGATTCCTAGTAGACTTTCTACATATTTTACTGCTTTGATATAATTTCTGTCTTACCTTGCATTTCTTATTCTTAAAATTTGGAGGCAACATGTTGTAGTCTAAGTGTGTTGGGATGATTCTCTTTGATGAGAGTTTATCCAGCTCCTCCAGTCGGGAAATGTCTCCAAATTCAATGGGAGATGTTATTGTGACTTGAGTATTGTAAAGCTTTGTTATAACTCCTGCAAGCCAGTGAGTGCCTACAGAAGAGGAATTTTAAGTAAACAAAACAAACAAACAAAAAAAGGATGAATATTTATTACTGAAACATGCATTTTCATACGGAAACACCTTGCTAGTGAACAAGTTATATTTCTAATCCTACAAATTCAAGAAACTTTGCATGACTAAATAATCCCATTGGCTCCAAATATATAAACACTGAAAAAAAATAGGGCTATATATGAATTACAATGTAACTCTGAGACAAGCATTACTTTTGGTACCAAAACCATCCCATTATACAAACTGCTGTCAGCTGACAGGTGGCTATATTGTTTTTATAAATTATTTTAGAATAACATGTTTGTTTGGGTTTTTTTTTTCTTACAATAACGTGAGTCTGTATATTTCTGAAAGTATTGATTGAGCTCCCCCTGGGTGTATGCTCCTCTGTCCAAGAGAGGTGGGTGGAGAGAGGATAAGAAATTAACAAATCTACAGCCAAGAGGCATTCAAATAACTTCATACAATTCTTGACTTGCTCATAATTGAATGTAGAAAGTCCCCAAGAAAATCTTTCAAATACAGATTTTGCTTACAGGTAAGGAATATATATTTGTTTTCCATGAAAACACCTGAGATTGTTTTCTACAGAATCAAAATGTTGGGAAATGACCCATATTTCTTGTAATATGAACATTTACTGACAGAATAATACATTCACATACTTAAACATCCTTTCCTGTTTCTTTCACACAGACATTTCCCAAGTAGTTTAAGCAGAGAACATCAAAAACAAAATCAAAACTTCTTGCAATTAACATTGAAAACCAGAACTTACCAGATTTGGGATAGGAAACCAAAAGGACATCATCTTCTCTAGCATCAAAACTATCCAAGGATTTTAAAAGCTCTGGAGAAGATCTGGTGGTAAAGGGAATCCCCTTAAATGTGTGTAGGAGCTCTGTCTTGCCGGAGCTGGACATGGTTGCTTAAGTCTTGGATTCCTGCAAATCAGATAACAGGGACAGGAGGAAGATTTAAATGTCACTTCTTAGTCAGGTGGCTGGAAGTGATAAATTGAGACTGAGCAGCACAAACCTCATGCTTATATACTTTACTGCAATGCCCTATCAGATATTGATTTTTTTTTTTTTCAGGTAGTTGATAAAGGCAACTGAAATATTAGAGCTAACTTAATAAATAATCAAAATGAGTCATGAGAAATGCATCCCATTTGTCATTTATTGGCTCTCCAGATAAAGAAATGAAGTAATGGTCAAAATGGAATTGTGAAAAATAATGACAATTAACATTACATTAAAATATGCTTAATATGGTTCATCTATAAGTTATATTTTGTTGGAAAATATTCTTACCTTCCAAGAAAAAGCTGCATCTTAAAATAATGTTTATTATTAGAGAAACAGTCTTATTTCATGTGAATGAAATTTTTTTGTTTGTTTCATTTTATCAACTATACAACAGCTTGAAATTTCAAAAATGCAAATTAATTCAAAGTGCTTGAATCTTGTGAGGCACAATCATTTTTTAAGATGTTATATGTCTCTATAAGAAGAGTATAAGCAACAAAAATCCCAAAATGAAAATAGATATTTAAATAGATGTATTATATAGATATTTAATGTTGCTTTTCATCCCTTGTGTTTTGTGACTATAAGTGGTTGAAGATTTTTAAACCTTTCCACAGAATATGCAGATTTATCAATAAAAAAGTCACTTTCAGGAAAGAGCCAGTTCTCCATTATCTGTTTTCAAATGTTTGGGTTTGGTTTTTTTTTTATTTGAATCTGTGGAAATTATCATTAATATTTTTCAAACAGAAAACTTCACTTTTGTTTAATGTGACCTTAAGCAAAGTGAATGTATCACAGTAAAATAAATAGCTCAGTTATGAACTAAAACATTTTTGAATGTTTAGTATTTTCAATTTTCCTTTCAATGGCCACAAATTAATTTACTCTTTTTTTACATTCTTTTCTTCAAAACTCCAGTGGCTTCACTATTCCTATTGAAAGATTCCTCCAATATATTCAGCCAAGGCCCTTCAATATCTTCAACTCAAAAACCTCCTTGGAAATAATGGTTTAAAATTAAGCAATGCTTGGGGAATTTTCCAGCTTTACCAATGTTCTTTTTTTATCATAAATAACAACTTGGGTTTCGTCAGAGGAGCTGATTCCCAGTTGTACTCCCATGAGCCCTGGTGAGAAGTTAATAAATAGACATATCCTTCCAATAAACACCTGAGCAGCCAGGATTGCTCACAAGAAGTAAGGACCACTTACCAGCTTCTGTGCTTGCATATTTCTAATCCAATCTCCACAAAAGCCAGCGATGTAAAGTTGATTTCCCCACGCCCCCCCCCCCCCCCCCCCCCCCCCCCCCCCTCCCCCCCCCCCCCCCGCCCCTTTCCTTTCTCAACCTCAAAGAGAAGAGATCTTCTCACTTGTAAAGTTGTCCTTAAACATTTATCACCTGCAAAACATGACCTGTGCCATCAGTAAACTATGAATTCCACTCCTACAGGGCCAGGTGGGGTTGAAAATCATGAAAAATACACTCTGGAAAGATGTTCCCTATTGCTAAGGATGAGACGTGATGGGGAATCTTTCCAGGGAGTCAGTGGGGTTACAAGAAACACTTGGATACTGGTGCTCAGGTAGGAATTAGGGAGTCTCCCAGAGAAGCTCAACCCTCAACATTTTCCTTCTGACTCCAGGCTGAACACCTAAGCCACTGCTTCGTACCTTAAGGTGTGAATACTCAAAAATCTTTCTCTGTCAGCAGATTTCACTTTAGTTACTTCAGGTATACAAATTATGTCCAAAGGCATAAAAAACCCTGTTCCTGTGTTGTTCTGAATGTGCATATTAATCTGAATGTGCAGAGAGAGAGATTTCCAACATTGATTTTGCGAGTCATCATTCCAGTTACAGGCACGTAACACAAGCTAGTAAAACTTTACTGCCTTGACCTGGCAGAAGTAATCTCACTGTAAAATGTTTTGCATATTTACCATGCTAATTCTCTTTCATTTCCTCCTGCATTCCTGCTATGTTTTGAATCAGCGCATTTGCCTCATCTAATGACTTGGACTTGAATTAATCACTCACAACAGAAACTGCTAAGGTGTAAAACAGAAGAAATACAGTAGCCAGGAAAATTCCTGTTCTTTTAGCTCATTTCAGTTGCTTTTTGTAGTAGCTTATCTTTTAAGTGTGTGTAATGACAATCCAGGAGAAATTAAACTGAAATTTTTCCTACCCAAATGCTACCTATACTTGGAAAATAAGGCCTAACCCTGCAAGGGAACACTATCCTGAATTGCAACAACTTAAGGAACAAGAGAATATTTGGCACCTTGCGGGAAAAAGCTATTATTAAAGCCATGCTAACTACATTGCCATAAAATACATTATTATAGCTACATTATACAAAGAGAGCACAGGTTTAAAGAAGACTGTGCCAAACCCTCCATCCAAGTTTGATTTTCTTCTTTATTAATGTATATGTATGTGTGTGTGTGTATATATATATAAACATGTATATATAGACACACCAGAACTGCAGTACCTATTGCCTGATCTCTGCACCAGGCTCTGAGGAGCTTTTCCCACCACCAAGTTCTCCTTGTTCTGGTCTCTGCTGTCCATACTGATGGAGTGCACACGTTGCCAGCAGGTTTCACAGGTATTTTCTTTCTGGGGAGCAGTGCCAAACCTGGATTTTGGGGATTCTTCATGATTTGAGACAAACGTAGCTAGGCACCTGGATACTGCTTCAGTCCAGCTCCTCCTGTCTCCATGTCTGACTTACCTTCTCCCATCTATATCCTTGTCCGGTGAGAAATTTATTTTTTAATGACTTTAAAATTTTGACTGTTCTGTTCCTGCCTCTGCCCTGCAAGTTCCAATTCAGATCCCCCCCCCCCCCCCCCCCCCCCCCCCCTCTCTTTCTTTGACTCCAAACAAACAACCCCCCCCCCCCCCCCCCCCATCCTCTTCTCTGCTTGATAAAAGCCAGCACCATGTACATCTCCTTCAGCTGAAAATTTCTCAGCTGAGGCCAGTCTGTTCCCCTCCAAACCCCTCTCAGGCAGCATGTACTAAAAAGATATTGTGATATTGTGGAAATATGCAGGCAAAGCCCCGTGTTGTTTGCACAGGTGAAAATTTGGGTGTACATCCACAGAGTTCTGAGTGGTTTTAGCTAGCACTTTCAATCATCAGGTTCCTCCTTTTTTTGAAATGTCCTAAAGCTGTTAAATATTTCAGTGTTGTGGTAATGAATGAGTGGTAAAGCTGATGGGGCCAAGAACTGAAATGCTTCCAGTTCATCATTGCTCCAGGTCTCATGAACCCGCATGCCCCTAAATGACAAAAGATTTAACTTCACCTGATGCACCTGGGAGTAGAATTTCCCTTGAAGGGTTTCAGTGAAATCCCTTATTTTAATGTTACAAATGAAATGTCTTGTCTAAGTTTATGGCTATTTAATAGAGACAGCCAGCAAAATGTTGGATGCAGCACAAGTGCTCAGAGCGTTTGGGAAGTTAGGGCACCTCAGTGTCTGGATGCTGACAATTTAGGAACCTCATCCTGGGCTTCTGTGTAGTTCTAATGAAACTCAGTTGCAGGATGGGAGTAGGGCTGCCTACAACACATCAAGACTCTGCCTTAGTGTACTCTGAGCTAGTCCCAGCTATCAGGGTGTGTGATTTAATCAAGGCTGCTTTACTGAAATGGGCTGTACTGGATCCTTGTACAACTTCCAATTTCCAATAGCAGTTCTCTTCCTGGTAGAGCTTCCCTGCAGCATCTGAGTGCTCTCAGAGAAGCCTTCCCTCATTAACCTGTATCTCAGCCCTAATGAAGAGCTATGAGTTGACAACTCTGATTTCAGAAGTCTCTGACTCGACAGGCACTGCTGTCTGAGGCAGCTGTGCCTGTACTTAGCTAATGCTCTGGAGGAAGCCAGCCCTGTGTTCTTGGTTGTGTTTATGGCATGGCAGATGATAAAGTTCCCTGACCTCCCTACATCCCTCTTAGCACAAATCATTGTCCATGGACATTTATTTCGTGTCTCACGCACAACTGATACAGCTAGTTAAAGCTAATCACAACAGTGCCACTGCTGCCAGCAGAGCCCTGCCCCGGCAGAGGGTGGCAGGTCAGTGCCACCTCTGAGCTCACCACTATCTCCCCAGGTCCTGCCCTGCAGCTGCACATAAGGACACCTCTGGGGCATGAACACACACAGAATGAGGACATGAAGGGGAAGCAGGGGGACAAGAGGGCAGAAAAGGAAATTAAAAAAGGGCAGAAAATGAGGATTTTAACCTACACTGGTCCAAAAAATGATGATGCTGTGCGCATGCAGTGGGGCTAAGCCAGGTAAGCCCTCTCCCTCGTCTGTCAAGGTGGGGTTGCCTAGGGGCATTTTTGGGAATTCAGGGAGAGAGGACAGGCCATGGAGGCCTGATTAATTTTCTGCTTATCTTTATTGGCTAATTGGCACAGGAATGAATTACAAAAACTAATGAGTCACCCTGTAATTGCTGGTGTACAAGCACTTCAAATGGCTCTAGGAACTTCATTGTTGACCTGAAATGGTTTCAACTTCTTTTGATTTGTCAGTGTAACTGGATATAAATATTTTGAAGTACATATGCAATAACAGGCTATTATTAGTTCATCATTGCTCCAGGTCTCATGAACCCATATGTCCCTAAATGACAGAAGATTTAACTTCTATGGGGAGCCAGAAAAATTCCAGAAAGAAAAGCCTTTTGATGTGTGTGTTTTTCAGAGATCAACACCATGTGGACCATCACTACACAAAGCAAAAAGCATTTGCTATCAGACCTATCTTGATGGTCCACACACTGCCTTTAAATTCAGCATCTAGCTGGACACAGCTACATCTTAAGATTATCCCTGATTTCAAGATTCTTTAAGATCTC